CTAAACTCGACCCGATTTTTTGAGATAAAATTCGAACCCAATCCTACTCTACCATAAATAATAAAACAATATTATTTTTATTCAATAAAAACAGTAATTTAATTGAAAAAATAATATATAGAGGGGTATTATTGTAATTATTCCTAAATATTAAGGTAAAATTATTTTTCCCGGGTTAGGTCGTGTATTTTTCACCTTAAACCCTAATCTAACCCGGCCCAAACATCACTTTTAAAAAACCTGACCCGACCTTGAATTTTTTAAAGAAACCCGACCCGAACAGATTAGGTTCGGGTCCTATGCTCATCCCTAATTTTACCTCAAAATTAAAGATGCACTACCATCAAATACTTTTATGTAAATTATATGTTCTCTTTTGCATTATAAAGTAATAGATTTCATGTTAATCGGAAAAGTAAATTTGGTGGCTAAGCACAAAGCAGCCCCTTGTTTCTTTCTGTTGGTAGTGTAATATTTTTTAAGAAGAGTCGATAATCAATGCTTATAATTTTATCCCTTTGATGCTTTCATTGTTTCCCTTTGATGTTGTTTCATAGATTTCACAACCATGGTTAGCGGCCATCTACTGTTTTCCAGTGTATTTTGTTTAAGGGTTTTACACAGTTTCATACAACCTTAGGATATACCTGCTGAATTTGCTAATTGGAATGGACATCTATTGTTGATAAAAGGTTCAAATGAATTCAGGCCATTTATTCTTTGTCTACCCTAGTTTAAGCTCTGGTAATTGAAACTTTTATATTATTCTCATCTGTAATGATACTTTATAGGCAATTTATTGGCCGTGGTGTTCTAATATATGTGTCGTGCTGAAATATGTGATACACTTGTTAAGGGAAACAACATACCTACACGTGTTGTTTAATTTTTTAGATTGATGTGGGCAAATATGTGGAAGTCGTGGTGTTCCGATATATATGTCGTGCAGATAAATGTGATATATTTGTTAAGGAAAACAACATACCTAAACCTGTTGCTTAATTTTTTAGATGGATGCGGCAGATATGAAAATTATAACAAAGAATTGTCCACCTGCAACTATAACCCATATAATGCAAGTGCAATTAGCATTTGGCGACTTTGATAGCTTTAAAAGGCATTTAATTTTTAACTCCATAAAGCATTGAAGGGTGAGTAAACAATCGGGTACTTCTTAATGGCTAGATGCATCTAGACGAACTACGTTCAATTCTTTAAACTCTTTATCTAGACCACCAAATAAGCCAAAGTACTTAAAAGTATGTTTGACGTCAAATATTTTGTCATCAAAAAGATAAATCAATTGTCTTATAAATGAATCAATATTATCCGAGGGTGGTTGTTGAGTTAAAATTTCACTAAAAATTCAAAATCATAGGAACCATAGAAGATGATACACGTTAAATCTCTTAACTAGTTAAACTCCCAAATGTAACAAAATGGAATATCAAAATCCGAAAAAAATGCCTTCATAATCAAAGAAAGTTAATCTGAGTTATGTCTAAACCATCAACATTAAATTTCATGTATTGATAGTTTACATGATGGTTTTCCAATTGAATTATTTGTTTATCTGCTCTGAAAATAGTATTAAGAAATTTGGTGTTGATTGAAACCAAAAGATACTTCGGATCACACTCTGAATTAACATATGTTGGAAACTTGACCGCTTCAACACACCCACTATATTAGACCTAGGATTTAACACAAAATATTACATCAACTCTTTGAAATTGGTTAGCGTTTTATTTTATAACTTCTTAGTGTACAATAATACTTAGGCGATATGGCCAACTATATATCATTTAGGTGTTAGAGTTGGTCATATCTAATTTAGATGGTAAAACTAATCATATATTATTCAGGCAGAAGAGCTGACCATATAAAAAATTAACAGAAGTATACTAAGAACTTAAACTAAACTAAGGTTTAATTGAGAAACTTATAATTATAAGAGAAAATAACACTTTTATTAATACACAATACAATTATAATATTTAACACTTACCTTAATATTTCCTTTCTCGACCTCTAAGATTTTTTTCTCTACAAATTTTTTACCCTTTTTTCACTCTCTATCAATGAAAAATATCACCCATATTTATAAATTTTAGTGGCCATTGGATTGTTGACTCATATTAACATCTTAGTCATTAATCTTACAAGTATCTAGATTTTTCTATATATAATTTTAGACATAATATTAAATATTATAAATATCTAGATTATTTTATGGATTTTTCTAGAAATATATTATTTCTATATTATTCTAGAATATTCTCAAAATATTCTTTTTAAAGGATAATCATATATTAATCTAGAAATTGCATTCACTTTCAACATTCCCCACAATGCACATTTCTTTCCATATATGATTTGTATATCATTTTGATTGTTTCTCTCAACTTTTCAAAATTTGATCTAGTTAGACTCTTTGTATATATATGCAACTTGTTCATCTGTCTTTATTGGCACCATCTTGATCTCCTCTTCAAAGATCTTCTCACAAGTATAGTAAGAGTGCACTTCTATATTTCTTATCCTTGCATGAAATATCAAATTTTCTACTAGACGTATGGATAATAAATTATCATATAAAAGTATTACTTGATAGTTTGTTTCCTTATAAAATTCTTTCATTAGTTGTTTTAATTAAATATTTTATTGTTTCGTTGATTTTGTGCCGGCTGGTATTCAATTTTAGTACATGATAATGATATTGTTGGTTGTCTCTTACTACACTATGATATTGATCTTGATCCAAAACTGAATATGTACCCAATTGTTGATCATCGAATATCATAATCTTCACCATAGTCAGCATCACAATAACCAATCAGTTGACATTTTTTTTTTTTGTAAAATACCAAAATTAATGATGTTTTTAACATACCTCATGAAATATTGTACTATGTCAAAGTGATGCTTCATTAGATTTTTCATGTATCAACAAGCCACTCTAGTTACATAAGTTATGTCTGCTCGATTTAGTATGAGATAGATAATATTTTTGTTCAATTTTTTATTCATAGTAACATCTTCCCACTTGTAAGAAAGCATTATTGATATTCATCAGCAACAACTTTCAAGACTTGCTAGTATTCACTGCTAGTAAGACTAGAATAATTGTGATTTTGCCGTCTGACTAAATGTATCTTCATAATCTAGCTCATATAGTTAAGAGAAAGCTCAAGCAGAAAATTAAACTTGACCTTTTAATTGAGCCAACTAGTTGGATCTTCACCTTGTAAATTTGTTTACAATGTATTAATTTCACAACTTTTGGCTTTCAAACTAAATCACATGTTTGATTGTTTAGGACCTTAATTTCTTCTTCTATAACCTTTTTCCACTCACGACTGTGTTATTTTTTCATAAGTGAATGGTTGATTCATTAACAAGGACATCACTGTCATACCTTAAGTTAGGTTATTTTGGTTTTGTTGATCTTTGTAATTCTCGTACATGATCTTTGACCTCAAATTGTTTTGGACGAAACTCCTAGAATATAGGTTGATAAAATCTAGTCTTCCATGAACTCTTTTCCTAGGAGGGAAGTGGCTTTTCTCTTCCTTTACTTGAATTTGATGTTTGCTATTCACCTTCTTTTTCTTCTGAATTTTTTGTTAGGTCATGAGATTTCGAAACTTCAATCATTTGAAGTGACCACCGTAAGGAAGGTTCATTAACTAAATAGTTTACCACTAACATTTAGGGGTTTAACGTTTGAATGCTTAAAATGAATAATTTTTCCGATGAAGATTTTTTAGATGATTAAAATAAAAGCATTTTAAAAGTTGAGTGTTGATGTAAGTAGTTTACAAGATTAAATATACCTAGTCTCAGGTTGTCTATTTTTATTATTTTAATATTTGAAAAAAATCACTTTATTAATTGAATCTCAAGATTAAATAGAACCGATAATTGTTTTATATATAAAATTTTAAAAAATTCTTAAAATTTTAAAATATTGGAACATTGTCAAAAATTGTTTATTTTTTTTAAAAAGTTATAACTTTATATATATATCATTTTTATATATTTTGATTGTTGTAATGCTTTTACATTCCAATGATTAAATGTGTTTTGGAGAATTTTTATTTTTTAGAATGTATCTTCATTCATTGAATTAGATAGTTTATTTCATGAACTTTCATCACTACTGATTTATAGTCGCAATTAGTAAAAACAAAACATACCTCACTCCTTTTCCTCTATGTCACTAATGTACTCATAATTAATTTTCATTTAATCATCACTTTCATATTTACATGAAAAAAGTGAAATACTAATTTTGAGAAAATAACATAAAAGAAAGAATGATTAATCTTTATTAATTGAGATGAAAAATGAAGTGTGAGGAAAATCTATATAATATTTTTTTTTGTTGAACTAAGAGGCTTGTGATGGGAATCGATTTTCTTTTAGCATAGTTTTGAAATCGAAGAATGTGTGGGGAGTTGTATGCTTTCTCTGTTTATTGTTGATTGATAAGGTGCTTACAACCTCATTTTTTTCTATTGCAAGAGCTATTGATCTTAATTATCAAGATTCGAGAATGTTTATGTGGTATAGTGTTGACCGGTATGTGACTATGCTAGTAATGTGACATCTAAGTGTAACGGCAACAACTGGTTTATCTAGTGGGATGATGTACTAGATCCCTTAAACAAGGTCAGAGATTTGAATTATGGTGATTATGAATGTAGTAAACTAGGTTGGGAATGTCGCCCTTGCATATACAGTTCACGATTCAGATTAATCGATCAATAGATCAGATACTAGTAATTATATGAAAATAAAGTTGCAACCATATATCATATCAATTTGTAAAGAAATCGTACAATAACATCGACATCATTTTCTTTTTCTCACAAAGGAATTTTCAAAATTATTATCAAAAACGAAGAAAAGCGACACATTTATTTGATTTTCAGTGTAAAGAAAGAAAGGGTTTGAGCAGCTGCTGAATATTGCCACAAACACGGATTCTGATGGCATCACTTCCTTTTATTCTTGCTTCCGTACAACAAGCTCAAGTAGAACAAGACCCTGAAGATAAAGCCCCATGCTACAACAACCAAGAGGCAGTTCCATTTGCTCAACTCAGTGATCCCTTGCACCCTCAATGCATCAGTCCCGGTTGCTATGCAAGTTGAATCCGTGTAATTTGTGCCCACAATATATCCCATGCTAGCCAGCATTTCATCTTGCACCGATCTCGGCAGGCTTCCGATCGGTGTACCGTTGAATATCTGGTTACCTCGAGTGAAGCATTGAGATGGCCGGAATTCGTTTTGCATGAACGCTTCGTATGGATATTTCACCAGTGAAATGTAATGAACCCCAAGCCAGTACTTGGGGAGTCGTTTTCGAGAAATGAGGAATCCGCAGAAGAAGAGGTAATAGGAAACAACGCCCACGGACATCACGAAGACGAGGAAGTAATCAGGGAAAAGCACTGACATGAATGCCACTAGTGAAGTTCCAGCCCAGAATGTGCTGAGTACCGTGAGGAAGAAGAAGATGAATCCAGAGACACCACCGGTGAGGCCTATAGCCGGAAAGGCTATCAAGGAATAGGAGAGGGAAAGGACTAACAGTTCCGGGATCGTGAATAAAGATCGAGCGAGTACGTATGAAGAGCGTCGATAAGCATTGTATGCAGTTTCCCTTATGAAAATGAATCGCTCTTTGATGAACTCCGGGACTTCGGTTGAGCAGGTAAATATAATGGTGCTCACCGATATAGCTAAGCATCCGATTCGTTCTTGGATTCCTCTCGGAGAATTATCAACCTGCCAAAACATGGTGCCTAGGATAATCGCGGTCATCGTTATCACCCCAAATCGGAGTCCAAAAACCTCCGGCATTCGTCTCATGTTTAGTGCCAGCCTTCTGAGTAACACCAACATTTCGTACCACAATGGATTGGCAAATGATGGGACTGAAGATACTAGATTATGGTGATCATCACCTGTAGCAGAGGCACCAGTGACTAGTTTCCCTTGAGAAATGCTTTTCCTTATTGCATCTTCAAGTGAAAGACTCGGCTTATTGGAGACCCTGTTCATCGAGTCCTGCCAAGACTTGTTGAATTCGACTAACTTCTGGGTTCCGTCGGAAGATTCCTCGAGCTCACGGATGAAATCGAGAGTAAACTCGCACGGATTGCCGTAATCGGGACACGGATTCCCAAAATCATCTAGGAAATTTGGCAGGTTCGCCGGAGAACCGCAATACATAGTTTTACCACGTGACAGGAAAATCATTGTATCGAGTAGGCCAAGAATCCTGGAACTTGGTTGATGAATCGACATTATAACAATGCTCCCACTTCGTGCAATTCCTTGTAGGACCTTAATGACACTGTATGCACTGGTAGAGTCGAGTCCCGAAGTCGGTTCATCAAGGAACAATAGTATCGGATCATGAATTATGTCGATCCCGATTGAAACTCGCCTACGTTCGCCTCCAGAGACACCTCTATGTGCTTCATCTCCGATCGTAGTCTTGGTCGCATTTCTCAACCCGAGTTGATCAATCAAAGCTTGTACTCTCGCTTTCTTCTTCTCCTTTGAAAGCGATCGAGGGAGCCGGATCTCAGCCGCGAACATCAGCGTCACTTCCACCGTCAGCATAGGGAACAACATATCATCTTGCATAACATATGCAGAGATCACCTTCAACAGCCCTGAAGGTAAGGGTTCACCATTCATAGTGATGGACCCTTTCAGACTATGCTTATCAATTCTATTGGCAAGAGCATCCATTAGCGTCGATTTGCCCGAACCACTCGGACCCATAATCGCCATTATTTCGCCTTCCTTTGCTTCGCCTGAGATGTCATTGAGCAGGCTCTTGGTCTTACCGCTATTCTCCGGAGAAATTAAGTTGTTGGTTCCGGTAAATGGGAACCTCGACTTGTGGCGGACCTTGACATCGTAAGTTAAGTTGTTGAAGGAAAGAACAAACGGATCTTGAATCGGAACAGTGGAGCAACTGGGAATCTCGAGGACAAGTTCACCGTTTTTGCCTCCGTCTTCCATTGGAATAATGAAACCTCTGAAAGTTGCAGAGCCAGAGCCTGAGTGTTGGGTTTCTTCCGAAGGCAACTCTTCAAGCTCCATTGATGTCATCGTGATTCGATGTTTTCTTGGACAAACCAAATGCTTCTATTACTGAAATGAAACCCTACAGAAATATCTGAATCTCTTTAGTTATTTAAAGCAAGTGATGAACTGTTGTATCCTTCTATTACACGTGAAACCATGTGGAACTGGTAAAGATTGCTGGAGATATTTCGTTTTGATAAAACGAGTTCCACGATGAGACTATATTAATTTTCAATTACAAAGATGATATCGGAGCTTGAAAAGGAAATTGCAACAACAATCATATGTTTGTTTAATTACTCTTTCATTATCTTTCTTGATCTTTAATAAGCTTTATTATTCATTTCATGAATTTCGTATGCTGGGGATTCATATTCCAATCTGCAGATACGCTTCCACATTGAAAATGAAAAATTGGATTTTCCAAAATTTTAGTTTTGATTTTTTTTCAAGGGTTACTGCAGGTCCACCAATGTACTAACAATGTTGCCGTCTGGACAAGATTAAAATAATGAAATATTTATGGGAACTAATTTTCTTAATCATTAAGCTTCAAACTCAGATTCATTAGACTTGCTCTCTCTAAAATCAATATATGAATTAATAAACGATTATTGGTGGATTTATAAAAATTTTTAAGGGTGAACACACATATATTAATAATATAAAGATTTTATATCTAAATAGATACGATAAACTTTCAACGTGGAAACAATAAAATTTAAGGTGATCACACACACACATATATTAAGAGAAAAAAATTCAAAAATTAAGAAGAAAATTCAAATTTCATAAAATTTCAGTGTGGGCACGTGCCTACCCTAAACCTAATGTACACCCACCACTAGAAACAGTCACAATGATTGTTAATTAACTAAAATTTAAAAATATATATATATACTCCCTCTCTCCTATAATTTATGCCTTATATTGACTATAAAAATAATTTTAGAAAGTATATTTGATCAAACAAAATAATAAGACAATTTCTAAAAGGTGATTGGTTGATTTAATTGATTTATTTTAACATGCGTAAAACAATAAGATATAAAAAAGTATATATAAATATTATTGTGTACTAATTTTTAATAATACATTTTAAATGAAATAATTTAAAATTTTAAAAATATTATTTTAATAAGATAAAATAGAATATATTCAATCAAACAAATAAACGTGGGAACTTTCCGAACAGTCCATATAAAATATGTCACGTCAGTTAACCATTTGTTTAACACTCCCTGCTTTCTAGGCGTTTTTATCCAAAAATATCCAACCATTAAATAATTACTTTTCAGACATCGATCGTCCTAATTTTATCGATCTAACACCCTTTGAGACAGCGTGACAAAAAGGCGTAGATTTCAATCCGTGCCTTCTTGGGGTTCGTCCGAGCTGGTGTCACTAGGGCTGTAAATGAAACGAGACAGATCGCGAGCTATTCGAGATCGACTCGGTCAAAGCTCGATCAACACTCGAATCGAATGAACTCGACTCGAATTCTTAACGAACTAAAACGAGCTACTTAATACTTGACTCGAAAAGCTCGCGAGCTACTCGAAAAAATGTTATATTATAATTTTAGATTATTTAAAATTACATTATTAAAAATATATTAAAATACATTATTGATAATTATAAATTTTTAAAAATATATTTTTAAATGTAATATAAAATTTTTGTAGGTTCAAGTTCGAGCTTCAATCGAGCCCCTGAATTGTTTTTAATTCGAGCCTTTTCGAGTTCGAGTCGAGTTTCAATATTATATTTTGAGTTTGAGCTGAGCTTGATAGTTTTTAGCTCGCGAGTTTTTGAGTTGAGTATAGCCTAATTTTAAACTTTTCGAGTTCGAGTCGAGCTCAACAATACTCGAACTCGGCTCAGCTCGTTTATAGCCTTAGGTGCCACGTAAGATTAAAGCGTGGATCACCATCCGTGCCTTACTAGGGTTCTGACACGAGGCGAAGGCGCGAATCATTATTTCCTTGAATTATTGGGTACTCCATCATTACCCAAACCCTGCGAATCACTTATCCTTACTAGGGTTCTGACACGTGGCGAAGGCGTGAATCAAATCTCGAGACATTTTCACGAGACGGTAACAATGTTAAATTGTGTTATTAAATTTACTGTATATTTTTTAAATGTTTTAGCATTAGTTTATTTTTAAATTTGTATATTATTTATTTAATTAGGTGTATTTAATATATTGTTTCTGCATATATAAGACTCTCAATCTTTCAAACTTTAAAACTCTAAACATAAGGAGTATTTCAATTGTTGTTTACTATGATGGAGAAATTAGGGAATATGAAACATGCGTTGTCTTTGCATCAAATCATTTTGTCAGAATATCCTTCAAGAGAAACACCACTCTTGAGGAGCTCATCCCTAAAATTTCAAGGAAGGTTCATGTTGGAAGTACTAGAAGATTGTCTTCACTTCAGTATAGATTTCAAACAATAATATTTCCGTTAATTTATACAGCGTTCGAACTCTCCAATTATAACGATGTTGCTATGATGGTTGATTCTCATAATCAAAATTCAGATGTCGATACATAGATGTATGCAATATTTCTTGAAGTGTCTATGGTTTGTGGTATGTCATTATGCTCCCACTATGGGCTAGCTCAACAAGTTAATCAAGTTGACAACCCAACTACAATAATGTGTAATGATTTGAACGCCATAATGGGAAATCCACATCATAGTATCATCTCATCAAGTTCAATGGGGAGACATTCATCAACAACTTGTTACGATGTCTATCGAGGTGGCTCCATGAACAATCTGTGTGGCAACGTCGCTTCTAGTTCAAGGGGAAGGCATTCATCTACCAATTTTTTTGACTTGAATATGGGGATGTCATCGACACAACAATCTGTTCTGTATCCATTTGACACAATGCCTTCAAGTTCCAAAGGAAGGCATTCAGCTGTAAGCTTTTTCGACAATGTCAAGATGTCTGCAACACATCACTAAGTCAAAACATGTATGACACAATTCCTTCAAGTTCAAGAGGAATGCATTCAACTACCAGCTTGTTCGACCTATATATCAGCATCGCAGAGGAACCCTCATCTTCACCAGAAGAACCTCTTTGTGAGCCAGGTGCAGATGGTGCTGAGACCGGATTATTCGTTGAGCCAGAGTCATCGCAGTTCTACATGAACTCCGATGATGATGATGTAGATGAAGTTCCCACAACTACGATACAAACCGAACCTCCAACACACATGTATGTAGCTAATTATGGTACAATGTATGGACCAAAATTTACAGATATGCCTAATGTTGGTGACTATGGATTTAACTCATCAGTCAATGATGCTGAGTTATATATCGGAATGGAGTTTCCATCGAAATAAGAAGTGATAATTTCCATTAAGAATTACAACATTTCATAATTCTGTTCACTCTAGAGTCAACCGATCCACCACCGAAATGTATGTCTGCTACTGTGTCTAATGTTATAACGGATGTAAGTTGATGGTTCGTGTATCAAAGAGGAAGAGGAAAAATAACACATGCGAAAAAACAATATACAAAGTTCCTAATACATACCATGTTAGAAGGATCAACCAAGACCATCCCAACTTGGACTCCGACATTATCTACCAATCAATCATGCCCATGGTCAAAGCAAGCTCCCATATAGCTATTGTTGTGCTGATTTCAACTATACAATCTCAATACGGGTACACTGTCTCCTACAGGAAAGCATGGAAGGAAAAGCAGAATGTCATTAAAAACTGCGTCGTCTCGAATATGTTCCACAATATGGTGGATGTCTATTTCGATGAGGGTTTCTTCATATAAGTTGTTATTCCTCCTCACTCTCATCATCATCATTATCACCATCAACAGTAGTAGGTATATTTTATTGATATGTGACAGATGACAATGTACCACCTCCACAGAATAAGGACCTTGGAGGTGTATGACTAACCATCCCACCGCTCATAGAAAACTGTGAAAACTATGAAAACATAGACATCGATGAATGAAAAAATTGGGTTGGAGGTGTTTGAGCCTGTGGTGGTGCATCACTAGCCAAATAAGCAACATATGAAGCACACACTGGATTTACAGGCATGGAATTGTAATATCCGCCTAGAGGGGTTATATCACCCTGCGGTGATGGCATAGGAACCTGCTGTGATGGCATTTGAAATGGAAGCGATGGCGTCTGAAACAACTATGGAGCCATTTAAAATGGCTGCATCCCCATATAGAATGGTTTCGAAATGTAAACTAGTGTAGAAAGTGGTTGTTGTGATGGTTCTGGTATTACAATTGAAGACAAACCGAAAGCTCTTGCTCTCCGTCCATGATTCGGGGGACGATGCGATTGTGATGGTGGATGCCTTCCTCGGCATCGATGAATGCTCTAGGCTCGTGCTTCCTCGAAAAGAAAGAATGACTTACCCTTCATGTTGAACCATTAGTAGTATTTATCCGTAACTGAACCCCGATCCATATAAATCAGCTTCCTACGGGGAATGAGTCTACGTTGATCCTCCTGCATCATCATCCACTCGTTGTGTTTCATCAACCAATTGACTTATTTTTTTTCCCGTCTATCGATGTTATTCAAATTGTCGAGATTCATAGGTATTTTTGGAATAGATTGTATGAAACCAAATTTTTGAAGCACGCGATCAGTCAGATGCCACTTGACAATAACATAACATATAAGAGGGACCACCTCAATCTATACATCTAGTGGGCCACTCATATTAGGTGGGATACAATGCCTCATTTCGTCAGTAGGATAAGGAGTTCATTGAAACTACAACAAATATGTATAATTCTTTTCAAAATAATATTTTAATTATATAAAGATAATTAAATGTAAATAACAAAATTTAAATACATATCGTATGACAATTTTTTGATCAATGAGTAGTCGAATTTCTTCTAATTCGTCTGGTATATCGCGATAATTTTTCCTTACACATGACCACCTGTCTAATGTAAAAAAATATTTATTATATATTCAAAAAGAATTAT